TGTCCCCAGGGTGGTCTCTGGGGAGAAGAGACCCCCCCGAATTGTTCCCGTCGCGGTGGGAGCAGCACCCACTCGATGGCACCCGCGCCCCACAGTGTCCCCCAGACCCCACAATGTCCCCAAGACCCCACAATGTCCCCCAGACTCCACAGTGTCCCCAAGACCCCACAGCGTCCCCAAGACCCCACAGTGTCCCCAAGACCCCACAATGTCCCCCAGACCCAACAATGTCCCCCATACACCTCACTGATGTCCCCCAGATCCCACAGTGTCCCCCAGACCCCACAATGTCCCCAAACCCCACAATGTCCCCCAGACCTCGCAGTGTCCCCCAGACCCCACAATGTCCCTCAGTCCCTGCAATGTCCCCAGACCACACAATGTCCCCCAGACCCACAATGTCCCCCAGTCCTACAATGTCCCTAAATCCCCCAATGTCCCCCAGCCCCACAATGTCCTGCCTCCCCACGGTGTCCCCACCCCAGTTGTCACCATGTCCCCCGACCCCTACAATGTCCCCCAGACCCCACAATATCCCCCAGCCCCCACAATATCCCCCAGCCCTACATAGTCCTCCAGACCCCACAATGTCCCCCAGACCCCACAATGTCCCCCAGACCTCGCAGTGTCCCCAAACCTTGTGATGTCCCCCGGCCCCAAAATGTCCCAAACTCCACAATGTCCCACACCCTCACAGTGTCCCCAGTTGTCACCATGTCCCCCAACCCTTGTGGCATCCGCCAGACCCCACAATGTCCCCCAGTCCCCCAATGTCCCCAAACCCCCCAATGTCCCCCATTCCCCAATGTCCCCCAAACCCCCCAATGTCCCCCAACCCCTCAATGTCCCCCAGTCCCCCAGTGTCCCCCAATGTCCCCCAATCCCACAGTGTCCCCCAGACCCCACAATGTCCCACAGCCCCACAATGTCCCACAGCCCCGCAAGGTCCCACATCCCCAGTGTCCCCGAGCCCCAAAATGTCCCCCATCCTCACAATGTCCCCAAGAACCCACAATGTCCCCCAGCCCTTGCAGTGCCCCCCAGATCCCACAATGTCCCCAAACCCCACAATGTCCCCAAATCCCCCAGTGTCCCCCAGACCCCACAATGTCTCCCAACCTCACAATGTCCCCCAACCCCCCAATGTCCTCCAGACCCCAAAATGTCCCCCAAACCCCACAATGTCCCCAAACCCCACAATGTCCCCCAAACCCCCAATGTCCCCCAGACCCCACAATGTCCCCCAACCCCACAATGTGCCCAACTCCACAATGTCCTCCAACCCCACAATGTCCCCCAGACCCCACAATGTCCCCAAATCCCCCAATGTCCTCCAAACCCCACAATGTCCCCAACCCCACATGTCCCACAACCCCACCATGTCCCACACCCCCACAGTGTCCCCAATTGTCACCATGGCCCCCAACCCCTGTGGCGTCCCCCAGACCCCACAATGTCTCCAACCCCACAATGTCCCCCAGCCCCACAATGTC